TGTGCCAACCTGCTGGGAGAAGTTGGGGGTCACTGGGGAGCTAAGGTCTGCAACGTTTTCTAGACGAAGTGCAACCCGCCTGTTTGGAGTTAATGAATGGATGTCTTCATTCTTCATTTAAATGTATTTATTTATGTGCATTGGTGTTTTGGCATGTATCCAGTCCCCTGGAACTGGGATTACAGACAGTTGTGAGCTGCCACGTGGGTGCTGGGTATTGAACCCAGGTCCTCTGGAACGGCAGTCAGTGCTCTTAACCACTGAGCCACCTCTCCAGCCCTGGATGTCTTCATTCTTGCACTTCAGTTATGTCGGTAGAAACCTCAGAAATGTACGCAGTGTGGAAATGGGAAGTTGTATTGCAAAATTATGTTTTACTGTTGATATTATCAAGACCGAAGGCTACTTGAAATCATGATGATGACGTTTCGTGGATTGCCCTAGGAGAGCTTATTCGCCTCTTTTGCTCTCTCTGCCCCATCCTGGTCCACCTCTGCATCAACGGGCTGGTCCTACCCTGCCCTCCATGTCCTTTCATGGAATGTCAGCTAGTGTTTACCCATGCTCCTTCACTTTCCCAGTTTGAGTGCCAGCCTACTGGAGTCTTTCCGTGATCCAATTAAAACAACAACCGATACCCTAACAGTACAGACCACTTATTTTTCTCTTTCTTAGTGTTCATTCATCAACTTGAAGGCCAATGATATAATTTGCTCACTGTCTCTGCCCCATGGAGGTAAGGTCTTTCATTTCTCTGGGAACAGATCTATCAGAACAAACATTTGTCCACAAGTGGGTTCATGACTAATTGCTCATTGTCCCTGCTGTGTTAGAACTGTTCCAATGTAGTCTGCTTGATCTTCATGAATTCTGAGGCTCTCCCAATTGGAATGGCTGGCAGCCATGTTATTTCAAATGGACAGAGGCATCAAAAGTCTATCCCTTGGTGTAAGAACAGCATTACTGATCAAGAAAAAAAACAAAACAAAACAAAAAAGACGACAGGCAAGTGCTGACAGTGGTCAAACCCGGTGCTCTGCTTTTCTTTTAGGAACACCCCACCCCTGTTCTTGGCATATCAACCATTAAAAGTTTAGACAAGCTAAACTTACTAGAGTTGGGTTTTTTAGCAAACAATGAAAACCAAAGCAACGCTCAAGAAGAAATAAACGGTCAGAGAGCCACCAAGCAACATAGGCAGTCGGTATATACAGAAAAAGGGGGTGGGGGGTATGGCCTAGGGGTTCACAGCCTTCTCTGCTCTCCCAGCAGAGCCAGGTTGGATTCCCAGCACCAACATGATGGCTAACAACCACCTGTAAAGTCCAGCTCCAGGGTATTGGAAGCCTGTTCTGGCCTCCATGGGTACTGTATCCTCATGGTACATAAACATCATGTAAACACAATTCCCGTACACAGGTGAATACATCTTTTTCTTTAAAGGTAATGTTTTGGAAAGCCTTAACAGGTTATTGATCTAATTGTGCCTTCTCAAAGGGCACCCTGAATCATACAATGCATCTTCTGCATATAGGCATAATTTATTAGTTGGGAGTCTGTTGACTAGCCGGAACTCACTAAGTGAGGTTGCATTTCGTATGCAGGCATTCAAAATACTGGGGGCAGTCTCTGGGTAAATTTAGTCTAATACCACATATAGTTGCGGGGGCTTATCTGAAAAGATCCACCTGAAAATACTAACAAAGGCTACCTTTCAGTGTTGGGTATGGCAAGGAAATTAGGAAGTCAGACCTTAGAATGTTGCTCTAATCACTTGAGAATGAACTTTTGCTAAGCTGCACGAAAATTACTTTTATATTTAAAATGAACTAGGGTAAACGTCTCAAAATATTAATACCCTTATTCTCCTGGGAAGCCAGGAGTCTGATCTTCTGCAACTTTCAACAGAGTGAGAAAGTCAGAAGAACCGGAAGTAATTCACAGAGCCGTGTAGCACGCGATCTGACAGGGGAAGTGAGGTATTCTGGTTCCACTGAAATCCAACTCAGAATCAGGAAAGCTTCTTTAAGTATGGTAGGAAAAAGGAAACAAAGTGAAGCCAAGGAGTTGGTTGAGTAAGAAGTACTGCAGCCAGAGGAATTTGCAAATCTCATCCCCAAAGAGCCTTGGAGTGTTTTTATGGAACTGATGGTGGTGGGAAGGGCATTAGTTGAGAGATGGGCGTTTGAAGTATTTGCACCCATATTCTAAAGAGCGAGGGTTGTGTACTAAACGCGGTGAAGGAAAGTGATGCTGGGAAAAGGTGTATTTTTTTTTTTTAAGCATTCTGTAACTTTACAGTCAGAGGTGGACTGTGGCTAAGTAGAATTATCACTGGAGGGAGGTCAGTTGCCACAAGCCAGTTAAGTACAGTGGCTGCTCCTTCTTATCGCCACCAGAAGAAAGGCGATCAGACGCGTAATGAAGGTGACCTTTGTAATTCTCAGCCGTGTGGCCCGATGGTGGATGATATAATTCAGCCAGACCGGGAACCCTATTCATGGAAGGAAAAATCGGTTTGGTGCCAAGAGAAGTTAGGCTTTTCAGTTTGGGCACGTGAAGTGTCCTTTCAGCATGAAAGTGGGCATAGACGCGGGAGAGAGAAAAAACAAACAGCATTTTCCAACTTAGAGGGAGTTTTCCTGGCCGCAGTAGTAGGGCCACGTATTTCTCAGTTCTTTTCCTGGAAAGCCTCAGACGTCAGTGACAGCGAGCGCGCGAGTGCGCAGTGGAGTAGCGCGCAAGGGCTCCTTGGGACGATTGTTTCCAGCATCCCAAAGCAGCATCCCCGGAGGGCTCGGTTTGAAACAGGCGCCAACTAGCCGCCCGGCTGGGGAGCATCGGGACCGCAGG